GAAAAAATTAATTCAGCAAAAACTAGGTTCCATCACCTCCGCAGTTTGGGTGTGCCACCTGTAAACCTTACGAGGGAGAGGAAACCCTTACAATAATAATTGTATACAGCATTTCCATTCTAATAACAACTATGTTGTTGAAACCTTTGAAAAAATTAATTCAGGGAAAACTGGGTTCCATCACCCCCCGCAGTTTGGGCGTGCCACCTGCAAACCTTAAGAGGGAGAGGAAACCCTTACAATAAAATTGTCAACAGCATTTCCATTCTAATAACAACTATGTTGTTGAAACCTTTGAAAAAATTAATTCAGGGAAAACTGGGTTCCATCACCCCCGCAGTTTGGGCGTGCCACCTGTAAACCTTAAGAGGGAGAGGAAACCCTTACAATAATATTGTCAAAAGAGTTTTCATTCTTATAACAACTATCTTATTGAAACCTTTGAAAAAATTAATTCAGCAAAAACTGGCTTCCCTCACCTCCGCAGTTTGGGCATACCGCCGGTAAACCTTCAGAGGGACAGGAAACCCTTACAATAATATTGTCAACAGCATTTCCATTCTAACAACAAGTATCTTATCGAAAGATTTGAAAAAATTAATTCAGAACAATAATATTGTCAAAAGCAGTTTCTTTCACAGTTCAAGAACAGTATCTCATGGAAAATTCAATCTACAATCTACAATGGTGATATTTATACGGATTACTTATTTTCGTTGTGTAAACCGATAAAGAAGTCTCTGGCGATGACTCCCCATGTCATAAAAACTCCAATGAAGTGGGGAATTCCATTGTCTGCAGGGTTGTCTATGAAATCAAAGACTGCCAATATCACGCCAATGCCACAACTAGCACAACCTTCCCCAAAAATTGGCTGTTTGGGCATTCCAAACCGCTGAATTGGAAAGGTGATATTCCATTGGGTTTCTGATACAGCCTTCAGCAGATTGTCAGCCAATTCAATGATGTTGGTAGGAGCAGTCTGTTTTAAGCCATCATCATAGAATGCTTGCTGCTGTGCCATATTTAGGCGAAGGAGACCCCAGTGTTTTCCATTTACGTGGGTTGGAGTAAGGGTCGATACAACATCACCAAGATCCATTCTTGAAAGGTAGGGCTTCAACTTTGTTTATAGAAATTGCACATTTCTGGTTAAAGCCCAGGTTTGTGTAAATGCCGGTAGATACAAGGAATGGAAATTTTTTCGCATGGGTTCTTCACTGTACCTCAAACATGCAGCATCAATCAAAAAGCCACTAATGAACCTCTCAGCAGCTAAGGTTGAAAGGTCTTCAGCATCAACCATGACACCACCAACTCTAAAGATTTCTTCTTGAGGTTCACTGTCAAAAAGGAAAGCCCTAATTTCATTAATTTGATGAGGGGTTAATGTGGTGCTTGTAGTTTTCATCCAATATTCCTCTTCTTGGACTCTAAACTTAATGGAGGAATCTTTTGATGCTTTCATCCAAATGTCTAGAGCTCTGCTGTCAAAGACCCCAAGATCTCCAAACTTGACTGCAGCATCGAAATCCTCATCATCACTGGTTTCTCCAGTTGCCGCATCCATCAGTCTATAACCCTTAGTGATCGCTGATTCTGAGGGCCTGACTGGGGACTGCAGAGGATTGTTAAGATGCCCAGGATCAACAACCAGCTCGATGTCATCGTCTGGAATTTGAATTACAGGCGGAAGATTAAGGGTAGCAAGTTGGCCTCTGGAACAATTATTTGCAGCACTAATTCGTAAATCATGAATAAACAAAGGTTCTGATGGTTGAGGAACAAAGGCAGTTTTAGTATCCACTGTGATACTGGACAAAGGGCTGCAACTGGAATTTGAAGGGCTAGTGGCGGGGCTTGATGAGAGGCTTGTGGAAGAGCTGCTGACTGGGCCAGTGTTGCTGGAAGCTGGGCTGCTAGCTGGAATGGATTGAGGACTTTGTTGCTGTTCCAGCAAGGAAGTAAAACTGGTCAAAACTGTAGGAAAGAGCTGCTCCCACAGTGCATGATCATATTGATAGATAGGTAAACAGTCGGGTGATATTACCACTCGTTTTAAGCCTTTGTCAAATTCATAAGAAAGAGCATCCTTGCCAAACATTTTGTTGAACAAGTCATTCATGGTGAAAATCCAGGCCATGTCATCTTTTGACCATGACACTTCTTTTTTTCTGGACCAACCGCAGCCTCAAAAATGGAATGGTTTACCTGACATAAAAAAAAACATTGGCATTGGCAAAATAAGGGAACCAGACAGTTAAAATAACAAAAACAAAAGATTTTAACAGACTGTGTTCAATAAGCTCTAAGCTTATACTGCAAGTTTTTATGTGGTTAGTTTTCGACTGCTCAAGAGGAAGAAGGGCAACATATTAATGTTATCTCACCCCATTCCAGGTAGAAAAAGATAAAGTGCATAGTAATGTTTTCATTGAATATAGTGTATGCTTTTTATGGGAATACACAACTCTCAGTTTTTTACGTAACGTTGTCTCAACCAGGGAGAATACATTTGACTAGACATCTAAGGGACTGACATAAAAAGAATTTCCATTATATAATGTTTCTAGCTGGCAAACATTTTAGAAGATAATCACCATTTTCCATGCTCTCTATAGCCATTTTGAAGCAAAGCCGCAGGAACAGCAACTTTTCAGAAAAGAAATGTTGCAAAAATCTGTTGGACTTAATATAATGAAATAAAGTTGATTATTCAAAAAAGCCAACAACTTTAATACCAACAAGAACACCTAATTAAACCAGACTTTGCCTTTTTCCCCAATGGATTCTAGTTTTCACACAATAACTTGATACATAATATTCAAGAACATGTACAGTGTAGCTCCCCAAAACTGATATTTTACTAATATGGTATGCTTTGAACAATGGCTTCAATACTAACTGTAAATTGGCATTTAAAATTTCAATAAAGACCTTTAGCATCAGGTTTTTCATGCGTGGGACACTGCAATTAAACAGGTCTCAAATATGAGAACGTCAAGTGGTCTTCTGGTTGCGTTTGCAGTTTGCAGTTCAAGTTTGAATGGCAGGAAGGGCTTACAGCAGTAGGTGACTTACAGCAATGTTTTTGCCACTATAACAATAACATTATTGTTCAGCCTTACATTTAAAAGCACGAAGCAGCTTTCTACACCACCCTCTGATATGCTAGTTAGAACTGGTGATAAACATGAATGTCTGCCTAAAGTTTAAAATCCAGTCAAAGTGAAACTGCAAATGGGTGACTGCAGACTGCAGTTTAGAGTTTGCAGTATCCCATGAACAACTGATGCTAAAGGTATTTTTAATAGCTATGGATGTTCTCCAACAGGAAATTATTTTGCTAACAATGAAAGCTCTCAAGCTTAAAGGATATTCAAAACAAGATTTAAAGTTCAAGGATTTTCCATTGACTCAACTTAGATTCAAGAGCTTTTAAGAGGGTACCACACCAAAACAGAGGTTTAGGAAGTCTAGCTAAAATTCAAGAGCTTTTCATATCTTTAACGCCCAGAATTCTACTAATTTAAGGTCAGTATGAACTCTATGCATCATCTGCGGTAATCACAAAATAATGTGAAAATGACATGATGAGCTTCCTAACCTTTCTCTAAAAAGAGTTGTTAGTTTAGTTCTAACAATATTTAAGTGGGTGACAATATTAGTTTCAAGTACTGTAGTGTTGAGATGTATGATAATATAAAAAAATAAAGTACTAAAAAAGGAAAATATAAAACTAACTTGATGTAGCATGACCATGCCTGTCATGGGAAGTAGCCTTTGAATATAACTGACACTGCAATGAGTGTGCTGCCTCAAGGCCTTGAATACTCCCTTAAGCTGAGGTGGTTTCTAAACAGCATGCTGGCATGTTCAGTGGTGATGTGGCCATAATCACTAGTGCCCAGGTTACAGCCAAACACTTCCCTTAAAAGGAATCCCCATTTTTTGCACTAAAAGAAAAAAGAGGCATATTTCCATGGGTGTTAAACAGAAAAAATTCTACCCTACAAAAACCCTGTGAGAGCCCTGTAAAATCCTGTTTCCAGCCCTGTTTACGTTATTTCAGGGCTGTAAACTGGCTGTAACAGGGCTGTGACGCAGCTGCAACTTACTTGAGTTAAAACAAGTGAAGCTGTGACAGGGCTGTAAAAGTGTACATAGTTAAGTATAACAAGCCTGTTACATGGCTGTGAAAATATCCAGTACCGTAACAGGGTTAAGACAGGGCTACCTAGTAATGCAGAAGAACTAGGACAGGGATGCAGAATGGCCGTGTTAGGTACATTTGACAGTAACCGGGTTCCTGCAGAACTGTGAGATGCCTATTTCTGTTCACACAATGGATAATAATCAAAGGGCAGTAACAATGTAGCCAAGTACGGTAAACTCCATAAATCATGAAAGATGGCAATATTTTTCAAAGTCTAAAAGTGTTAAAAGGAGCGAGGGTCAGCTAGATCATTAATAACAAATAAAACGAAAAAGAACTTGGTGAATATGGTATCGTTAAATCATCAAACACGAATATTGTACGCCTATTAATATGCTGTTTTTGGTTTTGTTTGGATTTGCTTCGTTTTTCCTTTTCTTTTTTTTCATTGACACTTACTTTAATTAATTAATACCGATTTTGTGGCTACCTTTGTATTTTGAGGTTGGTTTCTTTATAAGACTTTTATCTCATGTTAAAAACGAAGACCTTCTTATGATCAGCTTACCATTTTTACAAACACCTATTACATCAGCTCTTGTTCTTTTAAATGAAAAAAAACCGCTGTAACTTACTTAATTTTTTACAACAACGTACAAAAAATGAAAGACTTTCAGATCACTTCAATTTGTTTTCCTGCGTGAGAGACCTCTGCAAGCATGGAATTAAATTCTTTCCTTAGAGATCGAGGGGACTTCAATATTTTCATTCCGTGACAGACACGCCATTGGTAATTCCCTGGAGAAATCCAAGACTTTAATCTTATTGGTCAGCACTTTTACCGGAAGGTCGCATTACACATCTCCATTCCTGAAAGGACTCACGATCATTTGAATGAAAAGCGAAAATATTCAAACGCTTTCTGCATCCACTTTAGATTTAGAAAGGCTGTAGAGCGTTTTTTGCTGCTTTTGAAGCAGAGAGTGAAAAAGTATTAGCAAAAAAAATAACTGTGCTTTGACCAGCTCTCAACGAATGGGAAAGAGATCGATATAGTGGACAGAAAACATTCCGCGGCACTTGCAAGATTCAAAGATTGTTTGCCCTGCCTAGTAATAATGCGAGTTCATTTCGTACACCATTAAACAATTCAGCAACAACTGAAACACAAATGGATTGGCTCTTTTCATGAGGAAATGTAACACATTGTGGATCATGAAGGAAAGACGATCGAGGTGAGCGATTTCAAATTAAGCTTGTTACAACGAACAAAACAACTATAAACTGTCAACCTCGGAACCGTTGTTACAATGGAACAATTCCGTGTTTCATCTCTTATAATTGCGGACAAAAATCATTTTTTTTTTGTTTTTTGGGACAGTTATTGTAAATTCGGCATTTGACGTGCTAGTTGTACATTAAATCGAGCAAAGCAAGCAAGTGTTTACAAGCCAGATCAGACTGTTGCATGCAGTTTAAATTTTGTTCTGTTTATATTTTTACACACTGTAACGTCGGCACGTGAAAAATAAAGTAACGTTAAGTTCTTAATTGACTGTATTTACTGTTTTCCTTTATCGAAAGTGTCCTTTCAATGTATGTTTGTTGAAATGCATTGCTTTTGTTACTTAAGTGACTAAACGGACTAAACCAGCCGTTGGTGGTTCAACTTTGAAGCTTTTTGTGGCGCAAATCGTTCCTTTGCTTCAGGAATTTTCATGAGTTCAAATATGCCTAAAAAAGATTAAGTTCATCTTTAATAGATGTGAAGTTATAAAAAATTATGTTCTGATAGTACTATAATTCTAATGTATAGAAGTTAAACGGTTGCTGTCTAAAGTGTATATTGTGTGAGAGGGAGTATCACAACATTGGCACCTGGTAAAACAAGACGCTACGGAGCGTACACTTCGGCGTCGTGGTTGTGGAACTAATTAATTGTAAATGCGGAGGAATAGTAAGAAATCAAATATGGTGAGAGTAAGGTGTTAATTTGTGAAATTATGGGATTTGTCAGGATATTCTGAAAAGTGCAACATCCAAGAGACCTACTTGCCAAAAACTAGCATTTCGGGACAAATTGTCTCCGAGATATTAGCCCAGTTATGCTCTGATGACTCCATACAAATCCTTCTAAAAATACAATTCTCTATTTTTCTTAGTCACATCAGGCTTCAAAAACAGCATAGCAGTCTCATGTACTGATTAAAGATATGTAAGGCATGGGTAAGGAGTCAATTACGTTGAGCATGGAATTGGCTAAAACTCAAAGTCACGAGTTCGAATGTTTTGAGGATAATTATTCACTCACTATCAGCACGCAGGGATGTCGGATTCACACAAGGAAGTTTAACACCAAAGGAACATAGCCTTTACAGAGCTTTGAAACACAGCATCCACCAACACAAACTTCACTTGAACTTTGAGTAAAACTAAACAGCCTCTACCAATAATAACAAACTCTGACTTGAACTTCAGATATCTCACGGCTTCCGCGAACTTGTAAACACAATACCTGAAAATCGACCTTAGTCACACTTGACTAAACACAGCAGTCCAGCTCGTGGGAAAAAACTTAGTTCTTCAAAAGAACTCACTTGGAACTTGTATACCGTTTGACATAAGGTTCTAGAAAATACTTAACAGCAGGCGAATAGTAGTAGCTTTTCGACATATTTTATGATTTCAGTAACTGATGCAAATCTGCTGACTCATGCTGAAATGTAAATATGCCCTAATTAATTATTCATGGATAATCCAAAAACGTAGAGAACGTTCGAGAAAGTCACGCAACGCATGAAAGCAATTTTACTACGTAACACTCAACAAAGACAAAATGTCTTTGTGCAGCATTTTGTAACTTTAAATTCATCATAAAACAGTTCGAAAGGAGGGCGCACTCGTGAAATGTTTTTCAACACTCGAAGAGAAATTTCGTGTCTCTGCGCGGCCACGAAATATCCTCTATTTATTCCTCGAGTAATTAAAGACTAAACTCGAAGTGATCTCAAGATATCACGAAGTAGTCCGGTCTCATTTCGTGAAATAGTTGAAACAAGCCGAAAAGTCACGAACTTGCACGCCCAATCTTGTCCCGAAACTAGTGCATCATTTCATAACTATTTTTCATATCCCAACCTACCTTGGGTCGCAGTAGCGCAATCGGTTAATCCCTCAACTTAGAGTCTCCTCTGATCTGACGGGTCACACAGGTGAGTCGGTTCAAACCCCGGGAAAGCCAAAATAATAATTCTTTCTTCCTCGAAAAAGTTAAAGAATAAATCAAAGAAATCGAAGTGATCTCGAGATATCTCGAATTAATTCGGCTCTCACTTCGTCAAATAGCTGAATAAAACCGAAAACCTACAGACTTTGCATGCCCAATCTTGTCAAAAAATTGTAACTTTGATACATTCCTGAGCGTCGCGAAACCTTTACTTCGCGCTCCGCCGAAGTAAAAACAGCCTTGTTAACTGCCAATTAACAAGTTGTAACAGGGTTGTAATGCATGAAACCTGTACCAAGGCTGTTAAAGGAATGCCACAGTGTAAAACCAGTCTTGCTAACTGTGCCAATTCACGAGCTGTGGCAGGGATGTCCATTACAGGGTGGAAACAGGGTTGTAACATGGCTGTTACAGGGTGTCTACCAAGAAATTTTGAGTTAAATGTGACAGGGCTGTTCCAAGGCTGCTACAGTGTAGAAACAGCCTTGCTAACTGTGCCAAATGACGAGCTGTACCGGGGTCTTACAGGTTAGTTTTACAACCCTGTTCCAGTGATGCTACAGAGCTGTTACAGGGTAGAAATTTTGTTAAGGAGGGTCTAAAATACAGGTAACTTTTCCACACTGTCAGAGTACAGTTCCCCATGATACAGACAAATGAATAGTATTAAAAGTGTTTGCAAGCCCTAAACTCTTAACAAAATGCTCCATTAGATAGAGGGGAATCTGTGTGGTTTGGCAATTCATCTATGGAGCAGTGACATGTACCTATTACCTGGGGAATGTGACCTGTACTTTGTGAATATCTTAAAAATTTTAGGAGAGATAAACATGATTTTACTTTTAAAATAATAATGTATGTGCCTCATTCTATAATCAAACTTGAAGTATTGTTTAAAAGACCAGCCTGAGTGTATTTCCAGGTTCTGATTATACATGACTGCAAATTTTTTGAACAGCGTCAAAATCTCTGATATAGATCTTGTACTAATATTTAGATCTGTTTTTTTTTTTTTAATCTAAAAAATTGGATGTAAAGGTTTGCCGTACCTTTGTCAGATAGACACTCATTAAGCATTTCTTTCTTTCCTTCTTTTTTGTTTTTGAATGTCAGTTAAAGTGAGTGGAAATTATTTTTGAATTTCTCGTCATGCAATGGCTTTTAATTGTTGCGCAGTCTCTGGTAAAAGATTTACAAGAAAATCCACTACAGTTGTATTTAACCTTCTTGTCTAAATTTATTATTGTAATAGTTTTAGACAGTAGTTTATTTTCCATTAAGAGGACTTCATTTCCAAATGGTACTTTGGGCAATTCCACATGAGAGGTGAAAAATCAATCATTTTTAAAAGAAGGATATTGGAATTAATTTCTGTGCCATTAAAGAGAAGACACATCATTGTATTAAAAACATACATGTCATTTCTGTTTTCGCCCTTATGCACTCCGCAGGCGATCTACTACTCAATAGGTCATATAAACAAGGAAAACATGGGACCCACAGGTGCAAGTTAAGGAACAATTTGTCAAAATATCAAAATTAATGCAGTCCACTGAAACTGAGGTATAATTAGAGCATAAGCCTTTTTTTCACATGAGAAAAAAATTTGATGGTTTTCGATAATTTTTCCCCATTTTTGGTTAGTAGAAAATATCTACGTAGATGAGTAATGTCCGTAACAAAATTTCCCTTCTTTCTTTGTGTCAGACAGGATTTCACCCTTTAATCAATTGAAAATAACTTGTCCTACTCCTTGGATTTGTTAGTAACATCATTTGTCTGATAAGCTTTTTATTTCTAGTAGGCTTTTTAATCATAGAAACTATTTCAAAGATAGGTAATGTCTGTAACGTAATGTCCATAACAATAAGTCTCTAAGTCAAAAATGAAGTGTAAGTATTCTTAAGTGTCTTTATACAAATATCCAAAGGTATTGAACCAAGTGACAGTTAGGGTACCAACTGAGCTCTATAATTTATCCACAATAAATGAAATAATGCTAAAGCTAAACAAAAGTTTCAGATTTGCATAACAAGAAATTCAAACAGTGCTGAGTAAGAAAACATGTTCTTCTTAAAAGACCAGAGTTGTTTTATTCACCTAAAAACTGATCAGCCGTGTAGCATCTTAATGAGACTTTCTTTGCTTTTTAATTTCTTTAAACCTTTTTTTCAATGTTTTGCTGTTTTGGAACAGCAAATGGGCCAGCACTGTCTAGGGTGACAGGGCCATAAAACACACAAGAGATGTGAACATCATCAACGTCATCCCGGCTGGGCCAGTCAAAACTCTTTGCACCCACTCGATGGAGGAACTTGAATCTTACAAAGCTATCAGCTTGACTGTGAGCGCATGTCCAATGTAGTAGGTTTCCACATATTCAACAGCATAATACTGCTCAGGTAGGATGCCTTCTGGTGGGATTGGGTCACAGTAACTTTCTTTGATGCAATTCCAACAGCATGAGTTTCCTGAAATCTGAGATGCTGGCATCACTGATTATCTCACCATAACCAACCCTGCAAGCATCTTGCATACAAGCAAGTGAACACTCCACAGTCATAGTCATTGGTCTGTTCAGGAACATCTCCTTTTTTGTTCACTATAAGCTTGCACTGATTCAGGTCTACATTGCTGTTGATCTCTTTGAGAAGGCCACACATTTTAGAAATAGCATCAAGACTTGTATGTTTAATGTGGTTACTTGGCATACTGTCTAAGACAACAACAGATTTCTCCTTTGGCAGAACTGCTAGAAGAGTCCAGTGCTCAGACTCTGGGGTATTGCATGGCACAAGGACTACATCCTGAAGCAGAAGTGGATTTCTCCCTTTCAACAAGCGATGCACTGGTAGTGAACCAACCGCTCTCTCAAACAACTCCCATGGCAAGGTTTCAACTGCCAAACTGTTGTTAGCTGCGCAAGTCACTTGAATAAGCCTCAGGTATTCATCAATAATAAAGTTGGACAACCATTTTATTTATCTTGGATTTTCTTCCCCCTGCCATTAAACCATTAAGATCATCATTTTGAATCATACCACCTCCTTCAAAGCTAATTCAGCCATCAGAAACTGCATTTACTTGGCAGTCTAAATGATGTGGAAGGCTGAACAAAGCACATCCTTTGAATAGTGATAGTAGCTTGTCAGAAAGGCCCTGCTGAACTTGGTTATCTTTCTTCTCTGACATCTCTTCCTTGTCACTTGAACTTTTATTTGCATTGCTGGCTATTTCTTTCGCATCTGGACCACCTGAACCTTTGTTTCCTGTCACAACTTCTTCTTCTCTCGAGTCACCCTCTTCATCATGACTTTTACTGTCTTCCTTACTGCTCTCACTTGAAACTTCTTTGTACGTGTGATGGCTGTTTCTTGAAGCATTGCCGAAAAAGTCTCCTTTCTCTTCACTGGTCTCGTCTTCATCAACACTGCTGGTACTGTTGCTTCCCTTGCTTAGAGAGGAAGAGTCTTGATCATCACTATCATTTTGATGCAGGTCTTCATTTTCTGAACCAGAAAACTGGACACCCATTTCAATCCAGGTACTCTGGTAAGAGAAAGTACGGCAACGAATAAGGCCATTCCTGAGTGGTTCTAAGCTGTGAAATTTGGCAATACCTGGGATTACTGGTGCAACAGAGAAGAATTTCTTTAATCCAAGTAAGTCTGCAGTAGCTTCTAATTCTTTAGATCCAACAAAAGTCACTGCAACAGATGTGCTCAACTTATTTGCAACACTTGCAAAAGAGCAAGTATCTTTGACTGCTTCCACCTTTCTTGTGGATACAGCATTCCAAACCATGCGCTTCACAGTTCCCCCAATACCATCAACAGCCCCTTTCCCATGTGATGTGGCAAAGTAGTTCCACTGGATGTTAAGACCTTGACCTTGAAGTAAATGGAGAAAATAAGCAATGTACCTGTTCTTGAACTGCAAGCTTGGTCCATCTAAAAATATCCAAACTCAAGTTATGTTTGGGTGTCTCCCCTTCACAAGGTCGTTGACAACTTTGCACATGAACACAGCAACAGGTGTTTTGTCATGCTTCAAATCATCTGAAACACTGACGTGAGATTCACAACAGCTGTTTTTATCTGCAGCCTTTGTCCAGATTGCAACAGTGAACAGGGTAACTTGATCTTGGCTCCAGTATGCTGACTGAACTTCTCCCTGGTACTTGCAGCTGAAATTTTCAGCAAAATCAACTTGCACCACTGCCTCTTCCTCTGTCAGATGTTCTATCTTCTCTTTGAAAATTCTTGCCTGTTGTCGCTTTACAAACACATGTTCTACGAATGATGGCAGCTGAACTTCTAGATCTTCCAGTAAATCATCAACAGTACCCTCTTTCAGAACTTTCTGAATTTTCTTTACCCTTTTCATGCTTTTTCCTTTCTTTGCCTGCACCATAATTTTGTTCCACATGCTCCCACTGATACCATGTTGCATGCTCATCAAGGTTTCCTGCACTTGACCTTATTTTTTGCAACAAGCTGGGGCATTTTGCACACTTTTACAATTGCCAAGCATGCAAAGTTCTGACTCAGGGTTGCAAACAAAATTTTCTGCAAAACTTGCTGAGTACAGTGGAAAATCATCTATTTCTTTATGCAGGCTCTCGCAAAGCATTTTGACAAACATCTCTAGGCATGTCAGCAGAAAGCAAGACATTCACTGGCCTTAAGGAGCAAAACTTATTAAAGCCAATCTCAGTGGTGGGGTTTTCTTTCATGAATATGCTATAACATTCCCTTAGGGACCGCAACAAGTGACTTTTCTGGATATGATGTTTTGTGTTGTTTTCCCGAACAGTGACAAAGTCTTTTCTGCCTGGTGCTTGGCGAGAGAAGGAGTCAAGCTGAAAGAAAACTTTAACAAATTTTACCGTCTCTTTTGGAAGACCCCTGTTACCTCTAGTGCACTTCTTTTTCCTAAGAAAACCTGAAGCATGTGCTAGTTTGAAAACCACAGCCTTTCGTTTTCTGGGGCTTTGGGGAAGCACTCTGCTGCTGACCTTACCAAGAACCTTTCCTAGAGCTTGGGGTGTTTGGTAAGCTTGTGATACATATTGGTCTTGGGAAGAGTTTTTTGCTTTCTTCTCTTTTTGTCTTTGCCTGTATTTTCTGACTCTTTCACAGATGAGTTTCTTCCTTTTTGCAACTTCACTTGGACTAAGGGCTTGACCTTTTCTTTGCACTCTTTTCCTTTCTTTGTCTTTGTTCTTATAGGCCTGATACCTCTCTAAAAGTTCTGGCCCTTTCAGCCCCTGTTTTGACATTTTTTTTTGGAAAAGACAACCATCTTGTTTATGTAACTTTCAGCGTACAATGAGATGTCATAATTTGATTAAAACTACTGGTCAGTGGTTTTCTTTGAAAGAATGTTCAGAGCATGCTCTGAAAAGGAATGCGCTGACCAGCTATAATTACAAAACAGCTTTTGTGTGCTTTTGTTTTCATTTAAATTTTCAGGGCTTCTATACATTGCTGATGGTAAAATTAACACATAAAAATAAATGAAATAAGCAATTTTTTTAGCATCATAGTACACATAATATAATTTTCAAGAAAAAATTCACAGTTAGTAATGTCCGTAACACTTGGTGTAATGTCCATAACACAACCTTTTAGGGAACCAAAGCAGTTAAGATAGACCTCAGAGAAATTTAATGTGACTGAAGAAAACTTTGAGCATTTGCCAATAAAAAATATGCATTAAATTGCTGTTTTGTATCAACCACATTGCACCATAACGACTTGCCTTTTGCACAATAAAAAAATACTCAGAGAACAAATTTTTAGCTCCCTCCGATTTTGACTGAAAGGCCTGTTACAGACATTACAGCTAAAACAACCGTCAATTTAATCACGACTGTTAAGGCTCAGTTCCTGTGATTTATGAAACGTTTGAAGGAAACAAATAATTATACTGCATATTGTGAACAGGACAGGAGATCAAAGTTAAAAAATGCTCTCTGAGCGTAATGTCCGTAACGGTGTAATTGCCCCTTTACACTCTTACTAAAAGTGAAATACCTGACACAAAGCCGTTAATGTCAATAATGTCAATTAAATCTTGCTAATCTTCCTCAAAGACAGTACTTCTAATAACTTCAGAAATGTCTTTCCAGTCAATGTAAACCTGAAATCAAAATGAATAATAACGAAAAGCCCAAATTTCAATCTGAAATGAGGTGTTTTAAGTTAAAGGGAAACTGCATGCCTATCTCAGTTTTTTTATAAGAGCATGCAGTGACCTTCCCTTGTTACCTGTGTTTTGTAACTGCCACTTGTTAAAGTTAAGAATTTTGTTGACAAAAGCAAAATCAGCTTGACTAGTTTAAACTTAACGTGTCTGGATTTTGCCCCATATCTTACTTCTCATAAAACTGTCCAATGTGTCTTCCAATTAAGTAAAAAAAGACTTGATTATTTGATTACCTTTAAGAAAAAAATTAGACAGTAGAACACTTCTGCTGCATAATCAGATAGCTGAGAAAGATCAGCATTGTCCACCTTCTGCCTTTTCTTTCCTCGTTTCCCTTTAGCAACCGACCCACCAACACACTTCTCCGACAGATCCACATATCTTTCCCCGATTTCACGTAGCCTGCCTTCCCAGAATTCCAGTCTTCTTTGAACTTCTTTTCCAGTTTCTAAGGAAAACAGGTTAGGTAGTCACATCAAGAAGTGTAAGGGGGTATTCTTTTTAAGGGAGGACTATTATGCAAGAACACAAACCACTGGGTGTGCTGTACATGCTAAGGAACATTCACTCAGTTGGGATGCAGTAATCTGATGCAATAATGATGTACCCTTGATACACAATGGTCACGTCATGGGGTTGTATTAATACTAACAGTGCTAGCTAGCCTATCACAACTTCCAGTGTAGATGGATGTAAATGCAGTCATTAATTCAAACTGTCTGGTTTATCACAGTCAAAGGGAAGGAAAGGTTTTAAATAACAGTATAATGACTTTAACCCATTCGCCCCTGAACCGCCCGTAACCGCCCGTGCGCATCCAGGTCCTTTCTACCCTTTGTGACGTCATCAGGTTTAACGGTCAAGGACAACTTTCTTCGCTAACTTGTGCAGAGTGAAGAGATCTTTCAAACCATACCAGAATGAGCACAATTCAGTCAAGGACACCGGAGAAAGAAGCAAAAAACCACGTGACGTTGACCTGAAAATCTCCATGAAAATCTTGTTCCATTACCCACCTACCTTTCCTTTCACCTAATCCTAAGATCCTAAAAGCTTTCCTAAAAACTCTTCCCACCAAAATGAAGCCTACTAAATGCCCAGCAAGAGAAAAAAAAAATGAGGCAAGAAAAGCGAAAAAAGAAGGGAGGAGAGAAAGCGAAAAGTAAAAGTCAAGACTGCTGTGTCACTTTTAAATATTTTTTTAATCTCGAAATTTTGCTTTCTGCGCATGCCCGAACTTCGCAAGCTAATATTTTGCATCTGGATCAGAAGGCTGCGAAGTGTACGACCTTTAAACCGGTTTGTGGTAAGTTTTAGCTCTTTATAGCACGACAGTGACCAGAAAACCACTCGACTAGCTTCAAAACGCGTTTTTCGGCAAAATCTCCAGGAGCGAATGGGTTAACATGTACCTGAACCTGTGAGGGTAATAGTCTCCTGCTTTGAACCAAAGTCTCTGGTGAATGTCTGAAATAGCCATGTCCTGATAGTACTAAAACAAATTATTAAAAATTCATTGAATATCTTAAACAGAAACCATTTTTTCAGTGCATGTTTCTACATACTACACAAAAAATATTATTGTGTGTTGCACTGGTTTAAGTGAAACATTCAAATCATGTGATATCCTGAGCCATACCTTGATTCTATCATTACAAAATGTGACTTTATTCCGCAGCACCTCTTTAACACTTTCTGGATCAGCAAAATATGACTTAAATTTGTCATGAGGCAAGGAGTTCCTGACAATCGTTCACGTTCATTAGAACCTTCAGGAAAAATAGTACAGAAAGAAACAAACAGGATTTAAATTCACAACTTAATGACATCTTCATTACAAACCAGTGTTACAGTTTTCATATCAAGGATCAAGGTATTGTACAAATGAAACTCGTGCCGCTGCTACAGCACGGAAGTAAAAGCCCTGAAGTGGATAAAGCGAATTAAAGGAATCATGACAAAAATGAAACAAGATAGAAGGTACCTGAAAATGAAGACACCTGGATGTTGTGCTTTTCAACAGCAGTTTCTTGGCCCTCCTTCATCTTCACCGTTATTTTGCTGCCAAAATTCTCAGGGCCATAATTTGCCAATTTGGCATTACATTCATCAAGTGAACCCACTTTGTACGGAAACAAACCCAATAATGATAACAGCTGTTCAGTATTTCTAAGTTTGCAATGAAGGGCGCAGAGATTAATAGACGATAAATCCTCTTCAAGAAGGAACTCTAAGTCATCACGGATGCCTTTGAAACTAGAAAAAAGAAGATTCACTATTTTGTTAGTTGTAGGGGATATCTCCCCTGAAGTGGTACTTAACAGTTTTATAGATTTCAAACTCAAGTATTTTACTCGATAGGTTTTCAGTCTTTTATGACAGTGCCCCTACAACATTGACACACCTACAGTAAAGGAAGACTGTGGTATATTATTATGGGAAAATAATATGTGCTCTCTAGGAAAACAAGACAAGGATAATTGCCAACATTTTATAGACAGGGGCATTAAACACCATGTTTTTCCAAAAAAAGTTTTTTGCTTCCTTTTCCATGCAGTGGAACATTATTGCTAAAATGAGGTCTATATAACAAGTGAGTCTTTTATAGAAAACATACTTGTTAAGCTATAAATGCTGGGATGAAGGGATTCACTATACCAGGGAATTTAATTTTTTGAATAGAGGTTAACCGTAGTGAGATAACCTTAATGTTTTGAATGCCTTTTATAATTAGAAGTTACTGTGAATTCAAAATGACAACTACAAATGCTGAAATTCATGAATAATCAAGGGCTGCATGCCTCAACAAGTATCACCGGAGAATTCTTAGTAAACCAAAACTATAACTAAATAACCCTCCAATATTGGCCTTGGACATGCTAAAGTGTTTCAAACAAACTGTATGTAGACCAAGATCGCAACATCCCATAAAAATAGCCATTATTCATAGCTAGTTTTTTCTAAGAAATTTTACCCAGCACAACTGAAAATCTAATAGTACTATATTAGTAAGTTGGTCATTGGTAAGGTCAAAACCTGCACAGTAGAATTTGTTGACTCAGAGATTTTGAATATATCCACATACTCTCAATGCTTTGCATATAAAGCAACACTCTACTTCAGTTCCTTGTTTCCCAAGCTGAAAGTTCGCTTTCCCTATTTGTTCCAGCAAAAAATAGAGGGTCTTCAGGTCAAGTATAACTGTAGATATAAATTTTAAAAACAGGTCAATGTGCATGCAGGCATTTGGATTGAAAATTAAGGTACTAAAAAATACCTTATTAATTATTATGTGAAACTTACCTTTAAATCTCACAGCATAATGTACTCCATCCACTGTGATTCCATTCTTCTTTAGTGCATCCTTTTGTTTGTTGACATTATAACAATCAACTTTTTTAGGTTTTCCCTAATAATAATAAAAAGTAAAGTTACCAGTAAACTGAAGTTATTACTAAAATGAAAAAAAAAAGGAAAATGAAATACCATACTGCTAGTCTAGTCTGTGGCAGATAGTTCTTAAGACTTGAAAACATATAAAGGTCGGGTTTGAGTGGCCCACTAATAAATTAAGACCTTTGCGGTAAATTAATTTTCAAAAATGATCGTTTACTGGGGCCTTTAGGCCTCATATGATAAATTTGTTGTAAATCCACAAATTATTTCAGCTTGCATGTATATATGTTATATAACTGGTCGACAACCAAAAATTACACAGTCAAAAATTTGGTACAATAAAAATTTTCACTAACAAAACTAGTTATTTTGGAAACAAATAACTATTTGGCTAATGAATCAAATTTAAATACAACATACCTGTCTTCCTTACAATTAGCAATATCTAAAGGGCACACTGATTTGCAGCTCTGATTACACACGAATGGTGTGTCTTTGGGGACTACACCCATTAGGACCTGACTGTGCCCTACAAATGAGAGGAAACAAAAAAAAGGCATTTCAAAAATTTAAGCACCACTTCATGACCTAGAGTTCAGAGTGTTTGGTTATGTTTACCCTGCCACTTTGTTGTTACCCCCCTCAAACTTAATACAGACACCTGTATTTAACGGATTTGTCGCAACAAAAAGCACATGTATTTTCTCTAAAATTTACTCCCTAATACAGACAACAATAATATGGACAACAAGTTTTAAACTCCCATATATTACATACCCTGCTTTACATTATTGAACAGTAAATGTTTAAGAATACTGACGAAAAAGACTATTTCAGTCCAAGACTACACCCATAATAAAAGATCACAGGGTTTTGTTAGGATGAACTTGTTTCAGTCACAGTTAAGAAATAATTTGGACACTATTGTATGTCCCTTCGTGTCATAATTTTTAACCCAGTTTCACTGTTGATTTTGTTTCTATGTTTTTCTTTCTTAAGTGCAACACAGTTGTTGCAAAATACAATAAAGAAATCTGGAAATAAGTTACACTGTATTTAGTAAAGATTGCGTTCTCACCTGCAAATGGCCTACCATCAAGCTTGAGGCTTAGGTCAATTATTTCTTTCTGCACACCATGTAATCTCAACTCCCTGATAATCCATGTTATGTCACTTTCAAGAGAAACTTCATAACCAGGAAAATCTTGTATTTGGGTGATGTCAAAGAGGCTTCAAACTTTATCAAACACCACAGACCGAAGTGCCTTTACGTTGTGTTTGGAAAGCAAGATCGGAGTGTCTGATTAGTTCTAAAAGAAAAGAAAAAAAGATCAAAGGTACTGACACAGTACCCCTGCCTCCCCCCACAGAAATAGCCAATTTTTCTTACACCCCTCAGAAATATTCCAAAGATCAAAGGTGCTGTCACAGTCAATCCCCTTCGACACGACTTTCACACTCCCACCCCCCCCCGCATTGAGCGCCTGACCGCGAGGCTCGTTCGTTACCATGGAAAAGGGGTCTCCTGGTGTGAGCAATAAAATCGGGCCTCTTGCTTATAATAAATAAGTCAACTCTTACAAGAGGTACAAGGGTGTCAAGCAAAAACTGCGATTTCTGCGATTCCTCCAAAAATTGTGAAAAATTGGAGAAATCGCAGTTTTTGCTAAGATTAATTAAGTCAAGTGGTACAGGAGGTAGAAGGGTGTCCAGCAAAAACTGCGACTTCTGCAATTTCTGTGATTTCTCCAAAAATTGCAAAAAAATTGGAGAAATCACAGTTTTTGCTAAAATTAATTAAGTCAAGTGTTACAGGAGGTAGAAGGGTGCCCAGCAAAAACTGGGATTTCTACAATTTTCGGGATTTCTCAAAAAAATTGTGAAACATAAGGAATAATTGCAATGATCCATGGTAGGCATTCTGTCTTTTTTGTTATCGTCCAAGCACAAAGGTTGACAGGTTTTTGTCAATGAGGTATTAGGGAAATACTTGTTACTGTATGATTCAACCTTGCATCCTCTATTCATTGTTGACTAATCCTGACTAATCTCATACGAATTCCAGTATCCATAAAAAATTTTGCTCTCAAAATCTGCTATTTAGCATTGTAGACCATTATTTCCTTCTTCTCGGAGTTCACAATAAGCTTAACCTCTCTTTTCCTTTACCAAGTTGCTTTCTAAACCCACCACAATCTTGGAACTGGTCGAAGAGATAAGATAATCTTCTCAGGTTTGAAAATGTTATAGTCACTGAACCTGGTGTATCTATCCCAAATCTTGTCAGACCAAGAATCTCCTTGTTCAAGAGATCAAAGACCTCATGAGGCATGGGAAGGTCAAAGCAAATCATCCACGGATGCACTATGCTCATTTTTGGACTAAGACGGTGAATAATTGCGGTCTTTGCGCGATCCATGCTTCGTTAAAGCATAGGACATAATCTCGCCGATCCTGTAGTAATTGGTGCGCTCGCGAAGCGCGCCAAAATTCCCTTTCACAACTGACTCAGCCAGCCTATTCAGTTCGTGGAATGTCTTGCCTAAATCCTTTCTCGCTTCAGTGCATCTTTTATGAAAATTTAGTTCACCTTCGGTAGCTGCACATTGATCCGCCATCTTGAATTTTGCAAAACTAAACTAAACCCGAGGTCGCGCTCGGCCAAAATGAAAGTTGATTAAAATCGACGCTGTTCAAAGGAGTTTTAACCGACGTAATAGCAATGCTGTCTTTTTCAGGGTACAAAAATAGCCTCATTTAGTCTTGTACCCCTAAGAAGGCAGCATTGCCGAAACGTCGGTTAAAACTCTTTTGAACTGCGTCGATTTTACAATTTTCAAATTAACATTAAGTAGAAAATTTAACTTTTTTTTCAGGAAAGTTGGCCACGTTGAAATTTTAAAATGGACTAGGTACGTGAAAGTGTGCTGCTACAGCGGTGAGCAGTCCGTTAGTCGCCAAAAATCTTAATAAAATTGCAATGGTTGCTTCGTATTCAACAGCTTCGTTGGGATTTGTGGATTAGAGAACGTAGTATATTACATTTATGGTGTTGTTGTTTGGGTCCATGAGCATTAAAGAACATCGATTACATGTGGATTCGTCCGACATTGATTTTTTCCTTGTTGAACTTAAGAAAAAATTGCAAAAAGTGTTCAAGTCTAAATCCAAAAACCTGTTCGAACCCTCAGGCTGTAATTATTGACCAGTTCTCATTTTTATTACATTGTTAGTATTAATTGAAAAGTTTTTTTAAAAATTAAGTACTTTTTGGGCAATCAGATAGAGGCCACCAAAGAAGAAATTAAGGTGCTAGTAAGTTAAAGCAATCAGGTTTAACTATGACCATTTTTCGGTGTCTCAGTCAGAAATGATTCAAATTGATGGAACCCGCAACCGACCTAGCTATGTTCGTCGTCCATAGTCCCCAATGAAGTAAATTGGCAATGGACTAGGTATAAAAATGTTCTTAGTCTTCGGTGGCAGTCCCAAAGTCGCCGAATACTGTAAAACAAGAATGGCTGATTCGAATTAAGAAGGCTTAGCTGGGGTTGGTGGATAAAGAACGAAGTATATGACATGTATAGTGTTGTTGTTGGGGCATGAGCATTAAAGACCCAAGGTATATTACTTTTGGATTTGTCAAGGAATAAGCGTCAAAGTGAAAGTGACAGTATATAGTGATCCACAACATTTTGCCGTGACGACTTTATACAAAATATATTCAAGATCGACGTAGCAATCGTCGATATTTATAAGATCGTGCAGAACGCTTGACCTATTTAAGTAATGACGGCAAAATAATCACAGCGAAAGGCATCTTTAATAAGCGGTGTTGTAGAGTGTTGTTTGTCATCGGTCGGATCAACTTAAACAAGTGCGGGCGAAGCAACCTCGGGCGAATCCACTTAAGGGCGAAACGACCACATAATTTACATTTACTAGTGAAAATAATTGTTAAATTGAAGTGAATGATGCTGTATTCAAGATGTAATGTGAATAAATAACTTTGACCAGTTGAAAAATACATTAATGATGTTGATCCCTTGTTCGAAAACTCCTAGTTTAAAGAAGGCATAAAATGATGAAACTTGAAATACAATGGAATCTCACGAATATCACTCGAACCTTTAGATAACAAACCTTTATTTAAAGATTGGCTGCGTTGGCTTTTACGTGTAGAAATGCTTTAATTGCGCTGACAGGGAAATGCCAAAATGGCAAGTAAAGCGGAAACTTTTTGAACAAAAAAATGGGCAAACGGCTTTATTTTAGGTGATCATGAACACGAGAAAAGTGAACTGATTAACATGACAAAGAACTTCGAGAAATCGCAAGTGACAAAAAATCGTCAGACTTACGATTTTTCGCAATTTTCGCAAATTTTGTTAAATCGACAACTCGCTCTGAACTTCAGTGATTATTAACCTGACAAAGCACTGCGAAAAATCGCAACTAGCGCGAAAAATCGTCAGACTTGCGATTTTTCGCAACACACGAAAAATTGCAATTTTTGCTGCTGCATGCAAACCTGGACATAAGTGACAGATAATGCAGAAAACTTATGATGCCTTGCTATCTTCAGATGGCAGCAATAAAGCTCCCGTCCCAAGAAAACTGTTTTCTTCAAATGCAGTGACCATTGTTTGATTTCATCGAATAAAAGTCGAGTTACTTCCTAAATAGTTTATTACAAGGGAGTAAAACCCTTAAACCTTCCTAGCAAATAAGAGATACTATAACATATGATCCCCGCAAAAATCAAGATGGGTCATTGAGAAACTCTTTAAAAAAAACAGGAATATTTCTTACTTCGGCCTCTCTTCCCTGTACACAGCTTGTAGGATGCAATTTAATTTGCGGTTAAAAGATACTTCCGGACCTAATAACAGCTTGCTAAAATTCATTAGTAATGGATGACTAGAGGCAGGTCGTGTATGCAAGTGCAATCGTTCCCATTTTTTTTGTTGTACTAAAATAAAAAGTGTCCTATTTTAACCAGACGAAAAAAGGGCAACACATAGACGTATGAAGGTGCGAGTTGGATTCCATCTTCGTGGCCTAGTCAATTCTAAGCGTACTGTGACGTTAGGTTTTTAGGGTGTTCTTCGTCTTTAACTGTCATAAAATATGCGGCGTTGCGCTGGACAAATAGAAGGATAATCGACGGGACGATTCGGAATAACTGAAGGACGGAATGGGACTAAAGCTCGGTAGAACACTTCGCTGGACTGCGCGGCCAACGTCACAAACAATGCCAGAGGTACAGGGTCGTTAGTAACTTGTCCGTAGAACAAAGAAGAAATGACTTCAACAGGATTGGAACTCTTCAAGTGTGTTTGTTCTTCTCACGTAGCTAACTCGTAGACAACTCAAGTAATTCAGCATGGTTCTGTGTCTTAAAGGGAGGTAATTCAGTTCTGTTGGTTCGAGGTAATTCAAATTGTACAGTTTGCAAGCTTGCTTATATGTGGTCTGGCTATGGTAATACTGTTCAAATATTATGTTCGGC